ACAAAGTAAGTATAATCTATAACATGCTATATAATATAAAGGGAAAACATTGAAAAAACAAAAGCGCTAAATGTACTAATTTCGAACACTCTACAACGAATACGAAAAGCATCGCAATTACAATTATAGAGCACAAAGTAAGTATAATCTATAACATGCTATATAATATAAAGGAAAAACATTGAAAAAACTAAAGCGCTAAATGTACTAATTTCGAACACACCACAACAAATACGAAAAACACCGCAATTACAATTATAGAGCACAAAGTAAGTATAATCTATAACATGCTATATAATATAAAGGGAAAACATTGAAAAAACAAAAGCGCTAAATGTACTAATTTCGAACACTCTACAACGAATACGAAAAGCACCGCAATTACAATTATAGAGCACAAAGTAAGTATAATCTATAACATGCTATATAATATAAAGGAAAAACATTGAAAAAAAAAAACGCTAAATGTACTAATTTCGAACACTCTACAACGAATACGAAAAGCACCGCAATTACAATTATAGAGCACAAAGTAAGTATAATCTATAACATGCTATATAATATAAAGGAAAAACATTGAAAAAACAAACGCGCTAAATGTACTAATTTCGAACACTCTACAACAAATACGAAAAACACCGCAATTACAATTATAGAGCACAAAGTAAGTATAATCTATAACATGCTATATAATATAAAGGGAAAACATTGAAAAAACAAAAGCGCTATAAATGTACTAATTCCGAACACTCTACAACGAATACGAAAAGCATCGCAATTACAATTATAGAGCACAAAGTAAGTATAATCTATAACATGCTATATAATATAAAGGAAAAACATTGAAAAAGCAAAAGCGCTAAATATACTAATTTCGAACACTCTACAACGAATACGAAAAGCACCGCAATTAAAACTATAGAGCACAAAGTAAGTATAATCTATAACATGCTATATAATATAAAGGAAAAACATTGAAAAAACAAAAGCGCTAAATGTACTAATTCCGAACACTCTACAACGAATACGAAAAGCATCGTAATTACAATTATAGAGCACAAAGTAAGTATAATCTATAACATGCTATATAATATAAAGGGAAAACATTGAAAAAACAAAAGCGCTAAATGTACTAATTTCGAACACTCTACAACAAATACGAAAAACACCGTTTACAATTATAGAGCACAAAGTAAGTATAATCTATAACATGCTATATAATATAAAGGGAAAACATTGAAAAAACTAAAGCGCTAAATGTACTAATTTCGAACACACCACAACAAATACGAAAAACACCGCAATTACAATTACAGAGCACAAAGTAAGTATAATCTATAACATGCTATATAATATAAAGGGAAAACATTGAAAAAACAAAAGCGCTAAATGTACTAATTTCGAACACTCTACAACGAATACGAAAAGCACAGCAATTACAATTATAGAGCACAAAGTAAGTATAATCTATAACATGCTATATAATATAAAGGAAAAACATTGAAAAAAAAAACGCTAAATGTACCAATTTCGAACACTCTACAACGAATACGAAAAGCACCGCAATTACAATTATAGAGCACAAAGTAAGTATTATCTATAACATGCTATATAATATAAAGGAAAAACATTGAAAAAACAAACGCGCTAAATGTACTAATTTCGAACACTCTACAACAAATACGAAAAACACCGCAATTACAATTATAGAGCACAAAGTAAGTATAATCTATAACATGCTATATAATATAAAGGGAAAACATTGAAAAAACAAAAGCGCTAAATGTACTAAATCCGAACACTCTACAACGAATACGAATAGCATCGCAATTACAATTATAGAGCACAAAGTAAGTATAATCTATAACATGCTATATAATATAAAGGAAAAACATTGAAAAAACAAAAGCGCTAAATATACTAATTTCGAACACTCTACAACGAATACGAAAAGCACCGCAATTAAAACTATAGAGCACAAAGTAAGTATAATCTATAACATGCTATATAATATAAAGGTAAAACATTGAAAAAACAAAAGCGCTAAATGTACTAATTCCGAACACTCTACAACGAATACGAAAAGCATCGTAATTACAATTATAGAGCACAAAGTAAGTATAATCTATAACATGCTATATAATATAAAGGAAAAACATTGAAAAAACAAAAGCGCTAAATGTACTAATTTCGAACACTACAACGAATACGAAAAGTACCGCAATTACAATTATAGAGCACAAAGTAAGTATAATCTATAACATGCTATATAATATAAAGGGAAAACATTGAAAAAACAAAAGCGCTAAATGTACTAATTCCGAACACTCTACAACGAATACGAAAAGCATCGGAATTACAATTATAGAGCACAAAGTAAGTATAATCTATAACATGCTATATAATATAAAGGAAAAACATTGAAAAAGCAAAAGCGCTAAATGTACTAATTTCGAACACTCTACAACGAATACGAAAAGCACCGCAATTACAATTATAGAGCACAAAGTAAGTATAATCTATAACATGCAATATAATATAAAGGAAAAACATTGAAAAAACAAAAGCGCTAAATGTACTAATTTCGAACACTACAACGAATACGAAAAGTACCGCAATTACAATTATAGAGCACAAAGTAAGTATAATTTATAACATGCTATATAATGTAAAGGAAAAACATTGAAAAAACAAACGCGCTAAATGTACTAATTTCGAACACTCTACAACAAATACGAAAAACACCGCAATTACAATTATAGAGCACAAAGTAAGTATTATCTATAACATGCTATATAATATAAAGGAAAAACATTGAAAAAACAAACGCGCTAAATGTACTAATTTCGAACACTCTACAACAAATACGAAAAACACCGCAATTACAATTACAGAGCACAAAGTAAGTATAATCTATAACATGCTATATAATATAAAGGAAAAACATTGAAAATACAAACGCGCTAAATGTACTAATTTCGAACACTCTACAACAAATACGAAAAACACCGCAATTACAATTACAGAGCACAAAGTAAGTATAATTTATAACATGCTATATAATATAAAGGAAAAACATTGAAAAAACAAACGCGCTAAATGTACTAATTTCGAACACTCTACAACAAATACGAAAAACACCGCAATTACAATTACAGAGCACAAAGTAAGTATAATTTATAACATGCTATATAATATAAAGGAAAAACATTGAAAATACAAACGCGCTAAATGTACTAATTTCGAACACTCTACAACAAATACGAAAAACACCGCAATTACAATTACAGAGCACAAAGTAAGTATAATCTATAACATGCTATATACTATAAAGGGAAAACATTGAAAAAACAAAAGCGCTAAATGTACTAATTTCGAACACTCTACAACGAATACGAAAAGCACCGCAATTACAATTATAGTGCACAAAGTAACTATAATCTATAACATGCTATATAATATAAAGGGAAAACATTGAAAAAAAAAACGCTAAATGTACCAATTTCGAACACTCTACAACGAATACGAAAAGCACCGCAATTACAATTATAGAGCACAAAGTAAGTATTATCTATAACATGCTATATAATATAAAGGAAAAACATTGAAAAAACAAACGCGCTAAATGTACTAATTTCGAACACTCTACAACAAATACGAAAAACACCGCAATTACAATTACAGAGCACAAAGTAAGTATAATTTATAACATGCTATATAATATAAAGGAAAAACATTGAAAATACAAACGCGCTAAATGTACTAATTTCGAACACTCTACAACAAATACGAAAAACACCGCAATTACAATTACAGAGCACAAAGTAAGTATAATTTATAACATGCTATATAATATAAAGGAAAAACATTGAAAAAACAAACGCGCTAAATGTACTAATTTCGAACACTCTACAACAAATACGAAAAACACCGCAATTACAATTACAGAGCACAAAGTAAGTATAATTTATAACATGCTATATAATATAAAGGAAAAACATTGAAAATACAAACGCGCTAAATGTACTAATTTCGAACACTCTACAACAAATACGAAAAACACCGCAATTACAATTACAGAGCACAAAGTAAGTATAATCTATAACATGCTATATACTATAAAGGGAAAACATTGAAAAAACAAAAGCGCTAAATGTACTAATTTCGAAGACTCTACAACGAATACGAAAAGCACCGCAATTACAATTATAGTGCACAAAGTAACTATAATCTATAACATGCTATATAATATAAAGGGAAAACATTGAAAAAAAAAACGCTAAATGTACCAATTTCGAACACTCTACAACGAATACGAAAAGCACCGCAATTACAATTATAGAGCACAAAGTAAGTATTATCTATAACATGCTATATAATATAAAGGAAAAACATTGAAAAAACAAACGCGCTAAATGTACTAATTTCGAACACTCTACAACAAATACGAAAAACACCGCAATTACAATTATAGAGCACAAAGTAAGTATAATCTATAACATGCTATATAATATAAAGGGAAAACATTGAAAAAACAAAAGCGCTAAATGTCACTACCAAAAAAAGGTTCTTTCACCACGGCTCGACGGTTTGTTACAATAACATCGTAACAAATAATGGTTTTTGTTACGACAATTTCCGTGACCAAATATATATTTTCTTGGTCAACGTTTCAAGTTCTTTAATTACGCAAAATAATCCGTAACAAAAACGGAGTTGGTAGACTTTGTTCAAAATAACATTAGTTACGATTGTGCTTCGTAACAAATGGTGTTTACATTTATTTTTTAAATTTAAAAGATATTTTGGATTTAAAAAAAAGGTAAAAACGCTATAGCGCTTTCGGAAAACTAAGAACGATTTCATACCCACACGCGCAGGCTTTCTTCTTCCCTTCCTCGGTGCCGAATAGATTTCACACTTAGCGAATTTTAGAAAGTTAGGGCACAACTCATTCTTCGACGCGATTTCTCAATCAGCAGACGCGACGTAATGGGCGAAGGTGGGATCGAGGAGGTTAATCGGCACCGGTGTCCAGGTAATGTTTTTAAGTTATCTCGAGTAGTATAAGGATCGATCCACAGATCTTCGTCGCGTCCTCTGTGAGGAGAAATCGATATAGGGCGTCGTAATATTCTTCTTCTTTCTCAGGTGGTATTGGGAATTGTATGGCTTGTGTGTGATAAACAAAACTTGATTAGTTGGTAGGATAACGTATTCTTGTGTTAGAGAACTAGTAGGCAGATTGTTTAAGTGCCCTGTGAAGTTTGATTTATTAATGGTGTAATTTTATCACATGATTATTTTGGTTCTGAAATTTTGGTTTTTGGTCTGCTGGTTTGAAAGGGAAGAATCTCAACCTGTACCTGTTCGACTCTACCCTGGGATCAGTATGGGTTGAGGTGTTTGTGTTTTTGTCTTGTTGTTTAAGATGGGTGATGAGAGTATAAAAATGATAAAATAATACATAGCTGGAGTATAAAATTATTTATAATGAGAGTATATTGTTTCGTGACTGACGAAGAAACTCTGGTATGAGTAGGGAAAGATAACAACACGCACAGCCGCGGGGCTGACAGCTGAGATGCACCCAGCCTGGCTCGCTGTCGTCTGCAGGTATTTCGTCACAATGCCAATCGGCTTCATTTTTGCATTACAATTATACTCATTGTTCCAGTTACAGTGAGTCGTCGTCTTTTATTTCAAATTTGTGCAGGAAAGGGAGGGTAAGAGGTGCTGATACTTTGCCTGGATCAGATCAGATCCTTTATTTGTTTATTTTATATATTATAACATAGTTAGATTCAATTCATCGTATTCACTCTCAAATTGATTGAGGGTGAGATGGGAATTATTTTCACGAGGTTGTTTTCTTCACTATTCGGGAACAAGGAAGGTCGGATTCTTGTGTTGGGCCTCGACAATGCCAGAAAGACCACCATTCTTTGTATGCCTCATTTTTCGCTTCATACGATTCACGTTGTTGTGGTTGCCTACTTGCCTTGGTGATGACTTTTAATTAATTCTCTTTAGCTATTGGTTTTCGCAGATCGACTTTAGATGGGAGAAGTAGTGTCTACTATTCCAAGTACTTACCTTGTTATCCTTACTTTAAGCAATTCTATACTGTTATTCTATGAACGTGGGTTGACTGACATTTAACGCGCTAATTTTTGGATATTTTGCGTTGTTTCTAATTGTTTTATGTTATTCTCTTCTCTTGAGCTTGTTTTGGTTGCTTCCTTGAGTTCATTAATTTGCTGCATCTATTTCATAGGCATAATTTAATATGACAAATGGTGATATGCGAAATGTGTAGTCTGAAAATAGGATTAGGGAAACTTTGCTTTACTTGATTAATGAGTAGATGTCTTTTTCATTTTACAGCTATTGGGTTCAATGTGGAAACAGTGCAATATAACAACATAAAGTTCCAAGTTTGGGATTTAGGTGAGTTTATCATCCTTAATAGAATTGGGATTGTTTTCAAAGTTTTTTGGCTTTCAGGATCCTTGCTGTTTGACTTGGACTTATGAATTTGTTTATTTTCATATGGGGTTCATCATTTTAATTTGTAATTTCTGAGTTTGGTTGTTATTGACTGTGTCATGTGTCGCCCTTGGTGATTTATGTTGAAATTATGAAAAGAAGGAGCTGAGGACTTCTTGGCTTTAGGTTTTCACTCTCATTAGAGCTCCAGAGCATGAAAACAAATGATGTCCATGGATGAATTATTCACATTAATACACAATGGAATGAATTTGTAACAACTATCAGCTATTAAATGTTGCCATTGGCTGTGGTTTCAAATGCTGCCATATATTATAAAAGATAATTGTAGGTTTATCTTAACTGAATTAGAGAATGTAGACTACAAGTCAACAATATCCTTCTAGTTAGCCTAAGATTTTTTTATTTAAATATATATAATCACTTCACCAATAAGGGAGGAATATTGTTTTGTTTCGGCGTGTCTCATGAGCTAAATGATTGGAATGTAAATGTTTTAAATTTGCTTCCTTATTTTTTCTTTTTCATTCTTTCCATCAAGGAGCCGAAGGATTCTATAAGCTATGATTTACTTTATAGACATACGATTTGCTTATAAGGGTGGGTCGTGATTCTAGAGTATAATTAGGCATCTAGGCCATTAAGCTTAATGCAACTACAAAACACAGTTATAACTTTAACCTGTGGAAGTCATAAAATAACATTCAAGAAAATAACCATGGGAATGCTCTTTGTTATCACAATTTCATTTATGCTTAGCGGTTTTGTGATTATTTAGTAGATTCTCTTCCAACCATTTCTAAGAAGTCCATTTTGAAGTTTTTTATTCGTAACATTGGTGGTTCTCCTTGTTGTGGCAGGCGGGCAGACCAGTATCAAGTAACTAATTACTCAAAAAAGTTCCAAGTAATTACTTGTGATTTTTATTTCTATCGTCTATTTAGTTAATTTGTCCAATTTAATGGTTCTCTTTTCAATCACACAATACTGACATGTGTCTGTACCCTGTCTAATATTGCCTATTGGATTTGTGCAGTAATAACATTTCTTCGTTCTAAATCCATGTTAAAATCTCTCTCCAATGATTTTTTTTCATACTTTTCTACTTTTCAATAGAATGTTTTATTTTTTATTATGTATTTAAGAATTGATAGATTTAGTTAATTACTGCCAGGAGGAAGAGCTAAAAGGCGCCGTTGTCCTCTTGTTTGCTAACAAGCAGGTGGAATTTTATACCATTCTTTCTGCTATATATATATATAAACATTAACATTGCACTTAATTTACATACGATAAGCAGAAATTTCTTGATGCATTTGCATACTTGTTAACTCTGTGTGTCGGTTGAAGTTGCTTGTTAATCCACTCACAAGTTAGATAAGTGTACTCTCTTATGGCTTAACATTATCTGACTTACAGGATCTTCCTGGAGCAATGGATGATGCTTCGATAATTGAGGCCTTAGAGTTGCACAAAATTAAGAATCGGTAATGGGCTATCTTCAAAACTTCCGCCATAAAGGGAGAGGGCCTCTTTGAGGGCCTAGACCGGTAATTCATGGATATATAATGTGCTTTGGTACCTAATTCATGGATATAATACCATGTATTGTACGACATATCTAAATATACATACTCGTATTGTTCTAGTTGCAAAGCTTTACACTTCTAATGTCTGTGTTATGGCATGTTATACATATAATTTGAACGTCTGTTGATATCTATGGCTCAATATACTCAAAAATTGCACTTGTGGATATTGTAGGTGACACACTTTCCCTGGTCAAGGTCTTCGTGACATCCGCCTCAGTCCCGAACACACCCCTTATTTTGCCGACCATTGCTGGGGCGACTACCCTTCGCGATGTCGTTGGTGAAAATCCTATTGAATGGAACTACAAGGATGTACGGATCTACTTTCATACCTTTCTTGTATTGTCTTGAAAAATTTATAAGAAATACGACTTAAACTAATCTTTGTGTTGGCCATTGCAGCTCATGCACCGCCCCTGAAGCGTATCTACCGATTCACCCATGTTAGTTGCCCCGTTTGTCTTATGGAATGTATGTCATACCTATTTTTGGATGGATTGTGTTGAGGCTGTGTGAACGATATGTGGAATTGATGCATAGACCATTGGAGTTTTAATTCGTGTGGTGAAAGATGTGGTTATGGATTGATGGATATCCGTACTTGCTTATTGTTAGGTTTGGTGTTTGAACTGTTAAGCCCGTTTTGCGGAACAAGATGTTGCTGTGTAGTGCTTGCTAGGCTTGTTTATGGGTTGCTTTACTTCGTTGTTAGGTATGGAGATTGTCAAGTAAAATCTGTGGTGTCCATGGGCCTTAATGTTGGGATTCAGATTTTACTATGAATTAATGTTTGCATGTATTGCCAATGATGATGTTTATAGCATTATGTGTATACGGAATTTCTTTCGGTATTGGGGAGATCACAGCAGGTCATTTTGTTCCACACATTTTTAATTGCAGTAACACCTATTTTTCATAGCATGATATTTCTGCGTAACAAAAGGATGAAATACCGTGACAAAAAGTGGTCCTTGGATATTTGTTGTTTCAGGTTGTTCCGTGACTATAGGAAAGTATATTTTTTATTACGGGTTCAGTGTCGTTACAAATATTCGTAACAAAAACCAAATATGACAAGCGATCACAGGAACGTTTTTGTAACGCAACGACCTTTTGTAACAAATATCGTAACTAAAAGCTCTGACACACGCGCGGAAGGATCGACATTTGGTTACGAGAGGAAATTCGTAACAAACAGCGTAACAAAAACCCTGCATTAGGGAGCGTTGACCGACAGTAATAGTTACGAAAAACGGCGTGGCAAAAAACATTTGTTACGCGAGTACACATTACGGAAAAAAGTCGTAACAAAAGCGTAGCAAATACACAAATTGCACGAAAAATGGCTTTTTGTTACGATTTTCCGGCCGTAGTAGAAAACCGTTTTTTTAGTAGTGTGTACTAATTCCGTACACTCTACCACGAATACGAATAGCATCGCAATTACAATTATAGAGCACAAAGTAAGTATAATCTATAACATGCTATATAATATAAAGGAAAAACATTGAAAAAGCAAAAGCGCTAAATATACTAATTTCGAACACTGTACAACGAATACGAAAAGCACCGCAATTAAAACTATAGAGCACAAAGTAAGTATAATCTATAACATGCTATATAATATAAAGGTAAAACATTGAAAAAACAAAAGCGCTAAATGTACTAATTCCGAACACTCTACAACGAATACGAAAAGCATCGTAATTACAATTATAGAGCACAAAGTAAGTATAATCTATAACATGCTATATAATATAAAGGGAAAACATTGAAAAAACAAAAGCGCTAAATGTACTAATTCCGAACACTCTACAACGAATACGAAAAGCATCGGAATTACAATTATAGAGCACAAAGTAAGTATAATCTATAACATGATATATAATATAAAGGAAAAACATTGAAAAAACAAAAGCGCTAAATGTACTAATTTCGAACACTCTACAACGAATACGAAAAGCACCGCAATTACAATTATAGAGCACAAAGTAAGTATAATCTATAACATGCAATATAATATAAAGGAAAAACATTGAAAAAACAAAAGCGCTAAATGTACTAATTTCGAACACTACAACGAATACGAAAAGTACCGCAATTACAATTATAGAGCACAAAGTAAGTATAATTTATAACATGCTATATAATATAAAGGAAAAACATTGAAAAAACAAACGCGCTAAATGTACTAATTTCGAACACTCTACAACAAATACGAAAAACACCGCAATTACAATTACAGAGCACAAAGTAAGTATAATCTATAACATGCTATATACTATAAAGGGAAAACATTGAAAAAACAAAAGCGCTAAATGTACTAATTTCGAACACTCTACAACGAATACGAAAAGCACCGCAATTACAATTATAGTGCACAAAGTAACTATAATCTATAACATGCTATATAATATAAAGGAAAAACATTGAAAAAAAAAAAACGCTAAATGTACCAATTTCGAACACTCTACAACGAATACGAAAAGCACCGCAATTACAATTATATAGCACAAAGTAAGTATTATCTATAACATGCTATATAATATAAAGGAAAAACATTGAAAAAACAAACGCGCTAAATGTACTAATTTCGAACACTCTAAAACAAATACGAAAAACACCGCAATTACAATTATAGAGCACAAAGTAAGTATAATCTATAACATGCTATATAATATAAAGGGAAAACATTGAAAAAACAAAAGCGCTAAATGTACTAATTCCGAACACTTTACAACGAATACGAATAGCATCGCAATTACAATTATAGAGCACAAAGTAAGTATAATCTATAACATGCTATATAATATAAAGGAAAAACATTGAAAAAGCAAAAGCGCTAAATATACTAATTTCGAACACTCTACAACGAATACGAAAAGCACCGCAATTAAAACTATAGAGCACAAAGTAAGTATAATCTATAACATGCTATATAATATAAAGGAAAAACATTGAAAAAACAAAAGCGCTAAATGTACTAATTCCGAACACTCTACAACGAATACGAAAAGCATCGTAATTACAATTATAGAGCACAAAGTAAGTATAATCTATAACATGCTATATAATATAAAGGGAAAACATTGAAAAAACAAAAGCGCTAAATGTACTAATTTCGAACACTACAACGAATACGAAAAGCACCGCAATTACAATTATAGAGCACAAAGTAAGTATAATCTATAACATGCTATATAATATAAAGGGAAAACATTGAAAAAACAAAAGCGCTAAATGTACTAATTTCGAACACTCTACAACGAATACGAAAAGCACGGCAATTACAATTATAGAGCACAAAGTAAGTATAATCTATAACATGCTATATAATATAAAGGAAAAACATTGAAAAAACAAAAGCGCTAAATGTACTAATTTCGAACACTCTACAACGAATACGAAAAGCACCGCAATTACAATTATAGAGCACAAAGTAAGTATAATCTATAACATGCTATATAATATAAAGGAAAAACATTGAAAAAACAAAAGCGCTAAATGTACTAATTTCGAACACTACAACGAATACGAAAAGCACCGCAATTACAATTATAGAGCACAAAGTAAGTATAATCTATAACATGCTATATAATATAAAGGAAAAACATTGAAAAAACAAACGCGCTAAATGTACTAATTTCGAACACTCTACAACAAATACGAAAAACACCGCAATTACAATTATAGAGCACAAAGTAAGTATAATCTATAACATGCTATATAATATAAAGGAAAAACATTGAAAAAACAAAAGCGCTAAATGTACTAATTTCGAACACTCTACAACGAATACGAAAAGCACCGCAATTACAATTATAGAGCACAAAGTAAGTATAATCTATAACATGCTATATAATATAAAGGAAAAACATTGAAAAAAAAAAAGCGCTAAATGTACTAATTTCGAACACTCTACAACGAATACGAAAAGCACCGCAATTACAATTATAGAGCACAAAGTAAGTATAATCTATAACATGCTATATAATATAAAGGAAAAACATTGAAAAAACAAAAGCGCTAAATGTACTAATTTCGAACACTCTACAACAAATACGAAAAGCACCGCAATTACAATTATAGAGCACAAAGTAAGTATAATCTATAACATGCTATATAATATAAAGGGAAAACATTGAAAAAACAAAAGCGCTAAATGTACTAATTTCGAACACTCTACAACGAATACGAAAAGCACCGCAATTACAATTATAGAGCACAAAGTAAGTATAATCTATAACATGCTATATAATATAAAGGAAAAACATTGAAAAAACAAAAGCGCTAAATGTACTAATTTCGAACACTCTACAACGAATACGAAAAGCACCGCAATTACAACTATAGAGCACAAAGTAAGTATAATCTATAACATGCTATATAATATAAAGGAAAAACATTGAAAAAACAAAAGCGCTAAATGTACTAATTTCGAACACTCTACAACGAATACGAAAAGCACCGCAATTACAATTATAGAGCACAAAGTAAGTATAATCTATAACATGCTATATAATATAAAGGAAAAACATTGAAAAAACAAAAGCGCTAAATGTACTAATTTCGAACACTCTACAACGAATACGAAAAGCACCGCAATTACAATTATAGAGCACAAAGTAAGTATAATCTATAACATGCTATATAATATAAAGGGAAAACATTGAAAAAACAAAAGCGCTAAATGTACTAATTTCGAACACTCTACAACAAATACGAAAAGCACCGCAATTACAATTATAGAGCACAAAGTAAGTATAATCTATAACATGCTATATAATATAAAGGAAAAACATTGAAAAAACAAAAGCGCTAAATGTACTAATTTCGAACACTCTACAACAAATACGAAAAGCACCGCAATTACAATTATAGAGCACAAAGTAAGTATAATCTATAACATGCTATATAATATAAAGGAAAAACATTGAAAAAACAAAAGCGCTAAATGTACTAATTTCGAACACTACAACGAATACGAAAAGCACCGCAATTACAATTATAGAGCACAAAGTAAGTATAATCTATAACATGCTATATAATATAAAGGAAAAACATTGAAAAAACAAAAGCGCTAAATGTACTAATTTCGAACACTCTACAACAAATACGAAAAGCACCGCAATTACAATTATAGAGCACAAAGTAAGTATAATCTATAACATGCTATATAATATAAAGGAAAAACATTGAAAAAACAAAAGCGCTAAATGTACTAATTTCGAACACTCTACAACGAATACGAAAAGCACCGCAATTACAATTATAGAGCACAAAGTAAGTATAATCTATAACATGCTATATAATATAAAGGAAAAACATTGAAAAAAAAAAGCGCTAAATGTACTAATTTCGAACACTCTACAACGAATACGAAAAGCACCGCAATTACAATTATAGAGCACAAAGTAAGTATAATCTATAACATGCTATATAATATAAAGGAAAAACATTGAAAAAACAAAAGCGCTAAATGTACTAATTTCGAACACTCTACAACAATACGAAAAGCACCGCAATTACAATTATAGAGCACAAAGTAAGTATAATCTATAACATGCTATATAATATAAAGGAAAAACATTGAAAAAACAAAAGCGCTAAATGTACTAATTTCGAACACTCTACAACGAATACGAAAAGCACGCAATTACAATTATAGAGCACAAAGTAAG